AGTTGGAAATTGCATTTAATTTAAGTTAGTTAATGCATATATTTAAAAAAAAATTGTATAATTAATATGTAATACTTATATTTAAATATTCTTTTAACATTCATATGTTACTCATCATATGCAAGAGAATGTTATTATTTATAGATTTTGTTCATATTTTTTTGTCTTATATTGTGAAAAAATTTAATGGTTTATTTTTAAATTACTTAAAAAAAATAAATAAAAGTGAAATTGACTGTGTTGCATCACTGGGCCCTCCCATGGATATAAAATAACAAAAAATCCAGCATGTATCCATTGGCACTTTATTACCAGCACAGCGCAATATGGACTTGCCTTTGGCACCTGCAGTTCAGTTACACATTGGTTTCTACACCGCAGCAGTGCATTCACCACACAATGAAAATACAGATTGTAATGAAAATTCAATATCATCGAATGGACTATTCGTTTAGACTTAGAATAGTTTGTTTTTGGTTTTATTTCGCATAAATTTAGAAACGTGATTAAAAATATTCTAAAAAATACAGGTGTGCACTATTTAAGTTTGAGAAAAAGTGGTTTAATATTTAAAAAATATAAATGACAGTTATATACATTTAAAACTGTACATAAATTAAATTTTGTATTTAATTAAAGCACAGATAGAGTAAATAATAAATAATTAAAAAATAATTCTTTTAATCATTTTGAGAATGGTCGAAATGAAAAGGCAGTCAAACTTGCGAAGAAGGGTGCAGCGGCTTAGCTTATAAGCCCACCCCTTATAAATCTAAATAAAATTCTGAATACTGGCATCAATTTTCGTACTTTGATTGGCCGTTATATAAACTTATTGTTGTGGAACGTAAATTTAGTAAATATTTTCAAAATTTTCTTGTAAATAAAAAATACTGTTAGCTATCAAATAAAATTTATTTCTGCACAACTTATAAATAGTTATTTTAAAATATGTACTATTATTATGTTAGGGGTCCTAGACATCTATTGTGTCCTGTTCATAAATTTATAGTGTTTCCCCAAAGTTCAAAGTTATTGCGCCTACATTACAAAGTTTAATTCATCCGGTATCACATGCCGACCTAGCTTCTTTCGTTTCTCATTGCCAATCAAACACTCAGTATGTGTTTTGAGGTCTCTCTTTCCTACAAAACTTACTTAAAACTTCCATTAGAGTATGTTCACAGTTTAATAAGGTAAAAGTTGAACGGCGCTGAGACTGCAAATAGTGTCCGGCACTGATGCACAAGCAGACCAATAAGATCCCAATTCATTAGACATTATCCCAATTCAAGTCTAGGAAAGATAGACTTAAAGATACTGTCTTTCATTGAAGAAATCGGACTTGAAGAAACACTCTAATAAGACTAAGGGGCACAACAGATCTTCTAGGTCGCAATGCCCTACCCCTTTTCAAATAATAATAATAAGGTAAAAGTTTAACCTACAGTGCTCTGTCAAAGTTTCTCTAATGATACTTCAATTATTTTTGCTTATTATTTTTGTTTATATCTATAATGTCGTATTATCAACATGCTAGGAATTATTCAAAATTTTTTTTTAATTAGTTTTTAGTCTATGAGTTTCTGTTTTCATATACATATAAATAATTAATTAGAGTATTATATCTATTAACTATATTTGCAATAATCCATTTTTACAATAAAAATCATTACAGATTTTTTTTGGAAGTATGACATAAACCAACAATTTCAAATTCATTCTTTTTATTCATTTAGATAAATTTTTCTAATGTTAGCATAAACGAACAATTGATTTTTGTTAAATTATTTAACTTTTACAATTTATATTTAAACAAAATAGGTAAATATTCTATTGTTTTTTACTCACTTTTGTTTATGTTTGGAAGTTTGTTTTATTATACCAGACAGGCTAAAACAGCAAAATACGCATACCACATACATATACCAAGGAAATAAAAGGTTCATTATTTTTCTTTCATTATTTTATTTATTTTAATAATTTATTAGCCCTTTTATGTACCAAACAATGCCGAAGCATGTTCCACATAAACGCACTTAACCTTTTTGCCTGCCTCTTTAAATATTCAAATTTCGTTTTTATCATTTATTATTTAAGTTTTCAACTGCCCTTTAAGTGATTTTAGACCATAAATTTAAACCCCTAAAGAAATTCACTGGGATACGTGACGTATGAGTAACATAAATTGCACTACTAGAGTAGTAGTGCCAAGTGTGGCAACTCAAGCGAGGGTTTCGTTGAGGCCGTAAGTGAAGTTAAACTATTTTTGAAAAATTGGCTACACTGGAATTTTCTAACTGCAGATTTATTACATTCACAAAAAAATTCTTACTTTTTTCACTTCACTTTCATAAATAGTTAAAAAAATGTATCTTTATTGACATTTTGTTCGCAGAGAATTGCTGACAATTATTCCACTTCGAAGAAAAAAAAGCAAAACAGGAAAAAATTACATAAAACCGATTTAGTTAGAATTGGTAAAAACTTTATATTTCAACAAAATTTTGCTATTAACTTAATAAATCATAAAAGCGATACATAAAAAGATATGATAACTCAAATGTACACAGAACGGCTTTTAAGGTCCTTCTCTGTTCTAATAACTAAATTATGTGTTGCCCACTATGTGTGTTTACCACGAACGTTGGGTTTTTAGGGAGCTAATGTAAGTGATATAAATTGTATTCAATTTGATTTAATTTTATTTTTTGTGTCAAAAACTTGATTTTTATTTTTATTATTGCCCATGTAATGCTAGTGAAATAATTAAATAACAATTTTATAAGCTTCAGAGGTATATCAAAGGTTTTTGCAATAATTTTATCACAAGTTATATATTAGGTTAGGTTGTAGCGACGATCTATAGGGATCCATTTATTTCTATTGGCCCATTCTGTTACCTTTTAAAGGAAAAACTCAGAGGTTAAAAACCACCTTTAACATTTGGCAAAACTCCAATTTGATAAATTCCATTTAATGGGATGTCTTGCTTTTGACAAAGATCCTTAAAAAAGAAGATCCTTATAATACGAAGACGGTGAGCGCATGGACTGGACAAGAAAAAAGCAGACGAGAAGCACTTTCATCGTCCTCTCTACAACTACCACAGATATTATTGTTAGGGACATACAATCTTCATCGCTTCTTAATCTGCAATGACCTATAAATAAAACTACCATAAGACTAATATCTTTACGGGGTATCTTAATGAGAGTATTGAATTTGTTTTTAGTGGAACGTAACTAATTTAATATCGTTAATTGTTCCCAACTTTTAATAAAAGTTTCAGCACAAAAATAATTTAGTAACAATTTGCATGATGTCAGTTGCTAACTAGATATTCTAAGTGATTTCCTGAAGCAGCGCGTCTGGCTAGCT